CACTGCAAATTTGAGCCTTGTTAATGCTTAGGTATCTGGAAATATTGTGTTCCAAAGGATCCTGTACGTAGTAACAGAATTTATCTTATGTTAGACTATTGAAACCGTTTCTATCTTATCCTTTCTTAACTATTAGGCCAGGAAGAGCCTAGCTAGCAGAACAAAGCAGAACAGCAATCCCTTTAATTCTAAAACCAGACTAAAGTGTTGCCTTAGGCGTTAGGATCTTGCAATAACCCCTGTCTTAGAAGATTGGAGCTGACCTTGGATTAAGCACTTGAGAATTCCGCATAGCTAATTAAAAACATATAGCTTCTTGAGCCTAATAAGACATGGCACTCCACGCTTACACTTAGAAGCCCCGCATGGTTGGCTTTTGATTCTGCAATTGCCTTGCTTACTATTTGTGTATAGCTAATAGAAAGTGTTTCTGCTCCACGCTCGAAGTCTTGGCTGGGTCTGATAGGCACTTGGGCGCTCTGAAATCACAAACAATTGTATTTGATAAATATACAGCGTAGACACTCAGGAAACCAGCATGGCTAATCAGAGGTATATAAGTCGTTATGAACCTGCGTAGCTAATCAAATGGCTCTAATTTCACCCTCAGTAATCTTGTATAGCTAATGAAAAGCTCTCCTACTCTGTGCTGATGAGAAGTTTGGGTCATTGGGAGCTTAGGAAAGAAGTAAAGCCGATTATGTAAGACGTGCTGGACGCTTGGGAAACGTACTTATTAAAATACCTAGCTTCTAGCAGACCACTCTTTTGTGGCTCCTAGCTCTCTGGGTCTTCACTAGAGCTATAGTTACACTTTAGGCTTGTGATAGCGGATTCACTACCTAAGGTCACCATCAACAGGAGTTTGCTGCTAGAGAGCGGGTCCTCGGTGAATCCGCATAGCCAATTGATAAGCTTGGGCTCCCGACAAGGAGTTGGGGCATGTGAGCTAATACCTCAAGAAATCTGCATAGCCAATTAGATAGCACCAGCTTTCTGAGGATTTCGTACACGGCACACGGCACACGGCTCCACAGTATGTAATTCGGCTAAAAAGATAGCAGAGACGTAAGCCGGATAAATTCTGTCGCTCGTCGGCCACCTAAATACATGGTGATAGAGCTGTACCTTTGGAGCTTTAATGACATGGGGGACGCTTAGCCACTAAGTTCGCCAAACCGAACCGGCCCGTTCTGGAGCCGGTAGTGGTGGGGAATCGTTAGAACCCAACTTGGTGTAACTCCCTACCCCTCCTTTTGAACCACCCCCGCATTTGAACAGTCGAGTATGACCTCTCGTAAAGCGACGAGGTCCACGAGTTGGTCGTGTATCTGCGCTGTCTTCTTCGTCGGAGCCGCAAATCAACAGTCGATTCCGAAGTTGGTAGGCCTTGTTCTTGTTCGGCGGACTACGTCGTCGTCGGTGAGTAGCACGAGAAGGTTGGCGAAAGTAGCGTGAAATCCGGTGGACTTTCGTTCTTCCCGTCTCTTTTGTTAAAAGCCTTACTGATCTGCGGTTTATTCGCTGAGTAGTGCTTTCAGTAAAGAAGACTATCTCAGTGGGAATATTCAACCAGGTGGTAATATTCAACCACTGATCAGTGTTGGAATCACAAGGGTTGGTTGTGATACGGTTAACCGTACGTATCGGGTGGCAAGTGACGAATATAGGGGTAAATACCAATGGTCTATTATGCGTGGCTAAGAAAGAGGGTTATGATTACTTGGTTAGAAAGCGATCAAATACCCTTGAATTCTGGGGAATTCACCGGCGGAACATCCGTGCTTCCGCCGCCGAGATATCGGCGTAACGGCCGATATCTCCGGGCGATTGATATTGCAACAGATAAAAGAAAAAGGAAAACAGGATTAGCAGTTTTTCCCCTGAATTTTTCAATTCCCAATAAGTAGTAGCTTCTTGTCTTTTCTATACTTACTAGTCGACAAAATTGGAAACCACATATCCAAAACAGTCAATACGAATGATGGGCAAAACAATCAAAGCCATCCTTTTTTTGTTGTAAAGCAAATACTTTAAAGACTTAACCCCCCCCCTCCCTAGTTACTGCGCAACCCCACATCCTGCGCACTATCACCACCACTATCACCACCACTATCACCACCAATTTCACTACTTATTTCACCCTCTTGCCCACCTACCTATATATAACTTCTGACTTTGCTGGATATTTCGGATGCGCTGGGCTTATCTGGAATATCTATTTCTTTAATATCCGTACTTTACGCCCGCTAGGTACCCTATATAGTTATAAATTGACTGTTGGGTGATAGAGGGCTATTTTCCTCCTATGTTGCTGCTGGTTAGCTAATTGGGCCTGTAATGCCTTGTTTTGCTACTCTAGAAAGACTAGTCTGGATGCCTGGTTATCCTAGCCCTTTTACACCTTTCTATGTAGGTGACGAATAGTATAGGTATTTAGCCCTTCCTTGCCTAGCTAGTTAGATAGATGTAATTAATGCTGTAGATTAGTAGACTAATAGGGGGTTGACTATAGGATAATAGATATAGCTTTATCTTACTGCTGGCTGCTAGTCTGGTCCTTCTGGTGGCTAGTTTGCTGGCTGGTTAATGCCTTAGATACTATGGGGTTAGATAGAGGGTACCTTAGACAGACTGGCCATAACCTAGCTAACTTCTAACTAGTCTTAATATTCTAGACTGTTATTGCTGCTTTACGGGCAGTAAAATAACAGTCTAGAAATACCTTTTTGCTAGTAACAGTAGAATTAGTTACCTAGTTATCTAGATATCTAACCTTCTTCTAATAGGACTACTTTAGTAGGCTAAAGATAGCTATATCTAGAGGCTAGGGGATAGTAGAGGAGTGTGGTAGTAAATATAATAGATATATGTTATTTTACTAGTACTTCTATATAATATTAATAGTTATCTGGCTGTAATGCCTATTAAATACTAGCAGCCTAGTTATATCTAGCTGGCTGGGTATAGTCCTTAGGATAAAAACCTTTTCTAGCTACTTAAGGGCAGTCTGGTTAGCTGTCTAGACATTATATGTTACTAGGAAATACTAGCCTTTATATTTAGATAGGTTGGATGGGAACTACTGGGCTTAGACTGACTTACCTTTATATATAACTAGCAGGCATAGGGACTGCCTATTAGTAGATATACACTTTATTAGTGATATCTATACCCTTAATCTAGGCTGTTTTTTCTAGGTATATTTGACTGCTGTAGAGCCCAGAACTAGCCTATTACTGCCCTTGCCCTCAAGGATACCAGTCTTATCTATATTCTATTGGTTAGATAAATGGATGTGCTGGATATTAGGGATACTATTAAACCGCTAGAAGAAATTGTGGATAACCTTGGGACTATGGACAGCCTATCGTCTGGCATCAATTGTTTTATTTCTCTTAGTAATAATAGATGGATCTTGCCGTTTAAATCGGCATTTCTACTTCCTTCTAAGAGGTCAATACCCATCGCCCATCATACGCTCTGCTAGTCCCTTTACTTGTTGATCGGTAAGGGACATGCCAAGGGCCTCTTAGGTATAGATATTGTAGTAGGGCAGGGTGATCGGCCCATATTTGAAGTTATCAAGGATGCAGGGAGCCCTGATCAGCGGAGGATAAAAGGGGCGATAGACGATCGATAGAAATGACAAGCCAATTTTACTTTCTTTTCCACGTACCTACCTTCTTAGAGGAGCGACGAGCCTTTCAATGATTTCAGTCGAACCGTGATAACACAAGAACGTGGGATTCTATACCCTCCTGATCGGTGAACCTCTTCGTTCGATCGAGAGAGTTCCTTCTCTTGATCGCACGAAGTCCTATGCCCGATCAGGAGAAGCAACTAATGTTGCTTGTGTAGGTTGTGGTGTTTCTCCTGGTATCACCGCACCGCACGAGACCTTTCCTCCCTACACTTCTTCAATATAAGCAGATGGAATACCCTCCTGGGCTTGCGATAACCGTTGATAGTCAGCCTAGGCAGTATCTCTAGACTGGCTACCTTTGAGGCGAAGTCGTAGGGTCGACTCTGGAATCCCCCATGTGCGAGCAGTAGTCCGGATACCCTGCCCTCTAGATATGTCCTTAACTACCCGATTAAGCTCAAATTCAGTATATTGCTTCATGATACGATAAAGAATATATACCGAAAAAATAGCGTTGCTTGGTAAACAATGGATAATGTTGTGATAGTTGGAAGTTAATAGAAGATTGTGGTGTTGGTGTTCCATGCCCTGCACAGGAAGTGGGGTGGGGGAGTTATAGCAACACTGCCCCGTTTCCTGGTTACAGGTTTACCTCTGTGTTATGTGATTGGATGGTCTGCTGCTCGTCGCACGACCACATTAAAACCGCTCTCGTATTTCACCATCCCTTTTTATTACCTCGCAAATCATTTCGCATGATGTAACCTTATAATTACGAACCTCCTTGATTGCAGCTTTCACGGAATACCACTTTGGTGTATTTTATTATAAAAAATTGTCAACAGCTTCTATCCCTCTAATACAACGGCTTCTACCCCCTACCTCTGGTGCCCCACATTATCTCTCGGTGACATTTTCAACGGCTTCTTGAAGAAGCCATCGCCGAAATATATTCTAGGGCATTTTACTCTTTATAGATTCTTGTTATTTAGGCCTTTTAGACCTTTATTCTCCTATGCCCTAATGTATGTCATAACTCGTGATATATTTATAGTTATACCGCTATATAGCTACTAGTAAAGGCGGCTAGGACAGTCTAAATCAGTCAATCAATCAATTTCGTTTCAATCAATAGTCTTGCTGCTCAAGCCGCCGTTTGTTACATTGGGCTAGTTTATGTAAATCTAAAGTCTTTCTAATTTTATGTCAGTTCTATAGGACTACTATTATTCTAGCGCTCTAATTAGCTTGGTTAGCTAGAATGTGTAGGCGAAATTCTATATATGCTGACATAACGTGTTTCTAGATTAGGTCAGACCGTCAATCGACCCAAAGGGAGTCATCATTCTACCCGCTACCACCCGTCCCACCACTTGTAGTTGTTTGTCTCCTCAGGCGTATCCCAAACCAAGGGAACACTAGTATCATGTGGTCTCTTTGGCCACGCCTTAGCAAGGCCGATCCAGGCCTTAACATGCGTCCATGTCGCCGTACCACCAGTAGGCGCCGCCGCGTTGCCTACAAAAAAGCTGAGACCGGTGCTGTCGCTGCGAGAGGGGTAGATACGTGTTGCTAAAGCAAAGCGATCATTCACCCAAATCTCAAGCAGGGAGCCGTCAAGAATGAGGTGGAAATTAATATCTTCAACCTTTGACTCCCGGCTGCCCGGCTGGCGAATTATATAAGGCTTAAAGTGGCCGATATGGGTGTCTTTATCAAAGTAGGGAAGCAGGCTACTATGGCGACGTACGACCCTAATTTGCGACGCGTCCGCGTCAAAAACAATAGTGGTGTGTTCAGCGTTGTCAGGGCTCTGGCCAATAATAATGCCGGCCGAACCTCGAAAGCTACTAAGCGTTGCGTATAGCTCGTATGAGGTACCGACGTTTGCAGATACATGTTTGGTGGCGTCAGTAAGCTGGCCAACCTTAAATTCCTTGCTCTGTGCGCCTCGACGGAGCAACTCCAGAACGTCGGGGAGAGGACGAATGCCAAGTGTCTGTGCAATAGCGCCAGTCTGGCTATTCTTAACACAGACACTGGCATCTCGCTGAGTGCCACAGTTCTGGACGCCCTTGATCTCTTGAACGTATAGCTCCTGTGGCATTGTTATAGCTCCCTGATAGCCGAACTTCTTAGCCATCTTCATAGCGTACTCAGGCACAAAGTCTTCGCCAACCCATCCCCACACAATGCGACGGCTGTGGTGCTTTGTGTCTTCCCAGGTGATATGAGAATAAGTACGGCCCCAGTCCAGGGCGCTGCCTGAGTTAGGTATAAACTCAACTGAGCCGTTAGCACGGCGTGCAACGTCTCCACGGTTCCAAAGCGCCCAGTGCTTATGCGAGTGCATAGTAGTGTTACCACCCTCAGTACCCATAGTAACAAACCAGGCTTTCTTGCCAGTCTTGCCAATAGGGAGGTTGAAGAAGCTACTAGTCTCAAAGTTATAACCCCAAGATCCAGTAACATCAGGGTTACCCAGCGACTCATTAGCAGCAGGCTCCCATAAGGCCCCAAGGAAGGTCCACTGGGTCAGGTCGGATGCAGGTGCAGAATAAAGCGGGATACGAGGTCCAATAAAGCCGGGGCGTGCGGCGTCAGGGAATGAAATAGGTACGTTGCCAGACTTAAGGCCAGAGCCAAGGGTCATATAGTAATGGGGCTTGTTGACCCGACGAAGGGAGTCGAGCTCCTCCGAGAGAAAGAAGCTAGGATCTCTCCATCCAGTAACATTCCAACCATCAGGAGGGCTGGAAATAACAGTGCCGAATTCATCCCATGTCTTTCCCGCATCAGTAGAGGTAAAGAGGGCCTGCACTTCAGTATTAAGGGCATATGGCCTCTTCCACTTGCTAGGTAGAGCGTGGATACCAGTAGCGAAAGTCAGAAGAGTGCCATCCTGGACGCCCTTGACGTTAACTGGTCTTGTTGTACCGCTAAATATTGCAAGGGGGGCAGCAGGGTACTTGTGAGCGGCGAGGGAAACAGAAGAGTCGTTCACCCAGTCGTGGATGTCGAACCAGTGGAACAGGTCTGAAGAAATCGCATGTCCCCATGAAATATTACCCCAGGCCACATGGTTCGGATGCCACTGATACTGCAGGTGGTATGTGTTAGTGGTTGGGTCGTAAACCGCACCACAAGGGTCGTTCATCCAGCTGTGTGGCGCAATAAAGTGGGAGTAAGGCCTCCATCGAGTAAAGAGAGAGCTGTTGCCTGCTGTCGCGATGTACTTTGGAGTAATAATTGCGGGAATATCCCCGGCCACAGGGACCGCAATGGCGGCAAGAGAAGTAATTATCGCAAAGACGGCGCCACCGTTGAGAAGTGCCATATTGTTTGTTGTAGGCTAGTGTTAGGTAAGGTTTAGGAGATACCAAGCCGACAAACGCTGCAGGTTTGTCTATCTTATATACCGGGCGATAAAGCAGGATTAAATTGAGCCAGGGTTTGCGATTTTTCTAGCTTTGATGCCGACCCTGGCTATAGTAAGGCCTAGTGAATAGTTGCTCTAGGACATTAAGGGCGTCGAGTTATAAACCTTAAAATAAGTTTTCATCTATTAACCCTCTCAGGGTTATTACGAGAAAGACAGCGAACTAAAGAGCGTAATCAAAAGACTTATCGGGCCAACTTTGCGGCATAAAGGGAAACCTGACCTGTTATTAGTAGGAGAGGAAATGAAAAGAGTCTTGTGGGGTGGCCGGGTATATAGCTACCGGAGACAAGATTAAACGTAGGGCAGCCATAGACCATAGTTAGCAATTTAGATAAACAAAAGAAAAGGTCATCAAAAAGCCAGCTAATTGCAGGGCGGTGTCTCTAAGGTTTTTGTTGCGATATCAATCGCCCGGAGATATCGGCTGTTACGCCAATATCTCAGCGGCGAAAGCACAGATATTCCGCCGGTGAATTCCCCGGAATTCACGGGTATTTGATCGCTTTCTAACCAAGTGATCATAACCCTCTTTCTTAGTTACGCATAATAGACCATTGGTAATTACCCCTATATTCGTCACTTGCCACCCGATACGTACGGTTAACCGTATCACAACCAACCCTTGTGATTCCAACAGTTTTGTAGGTATGTAAATAGACGTATACAGTTAAAACAATATAATGATGATATTACACCTACTACTTAACACGGTAAATTATAGAGCCTTAGCTATAGAGATCTGTATACCCTATCAGCTTGCTAGGCCATAGAGGTAAAGGGTATATAGAAGCTGACAAAACCAAACCGCAGGTGGTTAGCTGCAGGTTAGCGTTTAAGTGGCAAGAGGATAATACTATTACTATGTTCTCACACTATGAAGGCCCAATGGCGTATTACCTACGCGACTGTTACGATCTAACCAGTTGGGTGCTGGTGTTACGACCCGACAAGCGACAGGCAACTACAGCCCCACCAGGCCCTTGAAGCGCGGGAAGCACGACGTCTTGTGAACCAACAGAAGGATGACTCCCTACGGAACGGAAGAACTATGGATAAGTTACGTGACGATAAGGAACACTGAGCACTGATAAGACCTTGGCATGAGCGCTCAGTAAATCGACACATGAGCGCTCAGCCTACTTATTCATGAGCGCTCAGAAGATCCGTGAGATAGCGCTCAGCTACGAGGAAAAGACTTATACATAGAATAGACTTGGACGAACTTAAGGACAGACTTCTATAGCTCTTTAGAAATCAACTTATGATACATTCTCTGAATACTTTTAGTATCCAACCTTAGTGATTTATTGATAAGAAGCTATACGAGCTACCCGTACGACTATTGACTACCTAACTGATCACTGAGTGATCAATAGACCCGCAAACCCCTGACTACTGTTACCGAGTATCGACCTCAGCTATACTATTAGCGGAAGCCCTACTGTCGGATTACTGACCGTGACAGCTGGCCGATGTGACTATATAATGCAGAACAGGGGATAATTATGCAGGCGCATCATTACTGAAGCTTTTACTTTGTGCTAGAGTTGGTTGCCCTAACCTGCTCGTGACAGCGACCTTAAGAGAAACCGCCTTATGATTAGTGCCTTAGTTATTTAGATCATAACAGGCTACAGTTAAGGTGCAAAGTATCGCACAGACCTACGGTGCACAAAAGTAAGAAGCAACTTTTTAGTATCTTTAGACATATGTAACGTAACTTGTAGTTTTAGGTACTAAAGTAAATAGAAATATACTTTTACATACTACTATATATATGTATACTAATATATTGATAACTATACCTTTTTACTATAATACTTACCGCGAAAACGTTTATATAAGTAAGACAGAACTAAAGGTTAAGAAAAAGAATTAATCCAAGAAGGATAACGTACCGGCATGACGAGTCGCCTACTAGGGCCAGTCGCCCACCTCCTTATCGCTAGAAAAAGCCTATTTTCTAAGTATCCAATAAAAATCCACTTGTAGGCTATAAAAAGACCTCGTTTTTTGTTTTTAGCTACGATAAGAGTTGGTTCATAAGAAAAGATACGCAAGCCTATCGTGACAAAACCTATGCGCTACCAAAATCCCTTGTCTTGGGCGAGTCCCTGTTTCTTGGGGAAATCCAGACAGAGAACAAAACAATGTCGACATTTCATCTGGCGGCATTTTTGTCTTCTAAGATGGGTCCCGGGCCGCGCCGTATGTGCCCACGCTTCAACGGCGGAGTGGCCGGTGTACTAAGTTTCAAAGTAACCTCACGGAAACTCGTATAAAGTGCACAGTAGGGGGACCCTTGCTCACCAACTTTACATATAAATAAACTGTACATGTGCGGACTTACAAGCAAATACTTTATATATAAAAAATACTACAACAGGTTATTAATTACTTTTAAGTAATCTATCTAAACTTAGTATATTGTGGATTTTAATAAAGTTAACACTTGCTGGCTGTAGACGCGAAGTTTGTATAGGGGTGTTAGATAATCCTTATTAAATTGATTTGTATGTGGGTATGGCTGCCTTCATACGGTATTTTCCACGTATTTGTGGCTAAAGGGATAAAATGCACGTGCCATCTAAATCCCTTGTTTTAAGGGGGAAAATCTATCCTAGAAATAATGTCGACATCTATCCAGCGGCATTGCCCGTTTGGGCCGATTCCTCCACCAAGATGAGGCCCAGGCTGCGCCATAGCGCCCGCACTTTAACATACAAAAAGTCTAGGCCCACCCCATATTTTACTGTTACTTAATAGAGATTCACAAACGTCTGTGCGCAGAATCTCTTTTATCTAAGAAACCAGAAACCAGTCTTGAACTCTGTTATAGAAGTGTAACTATAACTATTTAGAACCGTATAGGAGGATATAGAAACTAATTTTAAATCTTACTATATTATTATCTTATTACTTATATTAAGAGGCTAAAGCTTATATAATAAATAAGGAGCTATATATAAAGTAATAATACTTTTTTTTATAGTAGTTATTAAATTTAGTTAATTTATAGCTCTTATAGCTAATTTAGATTAAAAGGTAATAAATACTTTTTATATAGGACTTTATATACTAATTAAAATGCCTTAGCTAATCTAGGCTAATCTTATTTATAGTCTATTTATTTTTACTTAAGTAGATATACTATATAGCTAGGAATTAGCTATTTTAGTACTAAGAGAGAAGGTAATATTTACTTTTTATAATAATATATAAAGGTATTACCTAGCTATCTATATATACACCTTAAATAATAAAAACCTATTCTTAATTACTAGGCTACTTTATATAAGGCCTTCTCTTATAATTAAAGGTTATAATAACCTTTATATATAATAGTATTCTTATTAAGAAGCTAGTCTTATTAAAATTATAAATATTATAATCTTATATCTTATACTTTATAATTATATTTTATATAAGTATAAACTAGCCTTATATAATTATAAGATCTTTAGCTAAGGCTTTTTAATAGTTAATTTAATATTAAAATTATATTTTTAATTAAGGTTATTATTATATAAAGTTCCTTACTTATTAAGGTCTAATATATATTATGTTATATATATTTAGAAGTTAGTTAGCTATATCTTATATATCCTCTTATTATAAAGAAAACCCTTAATTAATTAGGTTAATAACTTTTTTAAGAATTACTTTTTTTTTAACTTCTATTATCTTTTTTAAGTTTAGATATATCTTATCTTATATAACGCGTCCTATATATTAGTAATATAGTGTTATATAAAGGACGTTAAAGATAGTAGCTACTCTTTATATAGATATTTTTAGGTCTTTTTAGATAGCTTAAAAAGTAAGGATAATACGGCTTTTAATTAAGGAGGATTATATGTTTATATATAGAGAAATATTAACATAAAGGTTAAAAAGGTAAAAAGGAGGAAAAGTAGTCTGCTTGCTATAATTATCTGCTTGCTATATATATACGTTAGTTAAAGGTAATAAGGGTAGCTTATATAGCTTTTTATTAACAAATTACTAAAGGGATACTAAAAAGTATTTAGAGAATATATTCTTTAAAACGAAGGCCTTTGGCGGCCTGTAGACAAGACGTTTCGGCGTGAGTTACTGGCAGGAGTCTGAATGTGGCGCCGTAAAATAGTAGCACGCTGGCCGGGTCTGCCACTAACTAATCCGGTTTCCTAGCGGGTGTGTATGCTAGCCCACGGCACAGCATGTGGCCTTGGACAGCTAAGCTTCCAACCAACTCCTTGTCAGCGAGCAGCCAAACAGCTTCATCCGGTAGCCCCTTTGTACCTGCAGTCGGAACCGCAACTTTTGACTGATGTTCTCTCGACGTAGCTGCTTACATGTCCCCGGGATCGCGTCGGGATGCTGGCCAATCTTAGATGAGGGTGCGATAGGGAGCAGGACGGAGATGCCCCGAGCTAAATATCATCGGAAAGCGACCTATGCTGTCCAGCCTTAAGCGGCCTAGACCTACAACGCACCTCTCTGGCCTACGGTCCCACTTGGCCGATCGTGATGGGTCAGCAATTTACATATCAGTCACGTTACATCTAGGCATCAATGCAACCGTTAGTTGGGAATTAAGTTGGCCTACCTAATGCTGCTAAGTCTGGCCACGCCTGCCACTCTGCTGCGGAGTCGTTTTACAAGTGTGCATACATGGTTAAGATCAGGTATTAATACTAATCCCTAGGGAGCTATGCTGCAGAGCCTTATGCGCCACAAGCACATTCTAGAAATTGCAACTCAAACCTATGTTATCTACGGCCAAGTCGTCAACCTTTTATAGTAATCACGCCCATTTTTCTCCTATTTCTTCCGTCTGGTCATCTATAGACTAACTATTGGTCGCGCTCTGATTGATTTCTATGTTGATTGCATAAAACGACAGAGCTTAA